GCGTGGAATGCGCGACATCATATGATGTCGTTCTTAAATTTGTCCTTACTTTTAACGTCATATGACATCCCTAGATTACATTAGATCATGCAGGAACGAAGGCTGTCTCCTTATAAAGGTGGGGACCAAAAATCATGTAAATAGAACAATTTATATTTTTAATTTAATTTAAAAAAAAAACCTTACACGCGTGGAATCCGCGACATCATATGATGACGTTCAGCCAGCTGCCTAACTTTTAACGACATCATATGATGACGTTCGTCTGATAAAGGTTAATATATGGAATCAGTTGTATACAGACATTTAGGGGAAAGGATGGACTTTCTTGGATCTGTACTTGCAGTCATTTGAAGGTAATCTGAGGAAGTACTGTGGGGTGTGCAGTAACATTAACCCCTAAGCAGCCTTTGCATTTCTAGCAGGTAGGCTAGTTCTGTGGCACGGCTTAACAGTGAAATGGTTAAGGGCCTGAGGGATCAGAAGATGAGCTGAAGGGACTCTAGGATTTTACAAATAACCTTTACCATCCCCAGTATACTGTACAGAACCTCCTGCACCTGTTTTTTTAAATAGGTTAGGAATTTTGTTTCTAGATGGCATGATATATTGTATTTCTTAGGGCAGAAGGAATGCATTTTTATTATCTTTTGTAATAACCAGATAGGGACATCATTATACTGTAATAATATGTCAGTTCTGTGAGCTACAATGACATTTCTGTTAAGATTTTCATATCTGGTCATGAGTTCAAACAAATTAACTATGGTGTAACAAAATTAACTAAGAAGAACTGTTTCAAATAGATGTAAGAATATTGTATGTGACTGCAGTTGAATGTTCAGTAATAAGAAGTACCATCATACACAAGAGACAAAAAAATAACATACAAATAATTTTGTTCACTTGAAGACAACAATAAAACAAAATTAAATTATCATTAATGGATTGATTTAAACTGATTTGAAATGTGGATTTTAAAATGACAGTGACAAACGTTCAGAGTTAGAGCAGAGTCAATCCTTGTTGCTACAAAAGCCCCACTCTGATCTAAATCAGTTTGGTTCATATAATCACATTTTACTTTCCTAACATTTATTTCTGGGCATATGGTAGCATAGTGGTTGAGGGGCTATGCTACAAGCCGGAAGGTCAGAGGTTGAAGTCTCGATGAGGTCATTGGTTTTTTTCAGTTGATCTAATCCTTCCAGCTGCACTAGTCCCTGGGGTTTACTCAGCCTCTAACAGAAATGAGTACCAGGAATTAATTAAATAATTTTCCTGGGGAGTAAAGCGCGGCCAGCGCTTAAGGCTGACAACCTTACCGCCATCTTTGAGCTGATTGTCTAGATAGTGTGGGACCCTCAACATCTCACAACCCTATGGCCCTTCATGGCCTGGTACAGGGATAGTTTTACTTTTTTTTTTAACATTATTTCATCTGTATCCTGTTCTCCTAAGTAAAGTTTTGTAAAGTTTTCCAGCAAAAATTTTGTATGCAGTTTTACCCTGTGTGTTCTACATGTATCATCTGTGTCACCATCTTTGGCTGAATCAGTGTAAAGATATTAGGTGAAGAAAACAATGAAGCTTCCTTTTGTGGCTCTATAAATTTTTTTGATTCATTTCCCTCTACATATTCTTTTTTCAGGTAACATTTTCTTCTCTTAGAGTAAAGAATTAGACTTATTGAGTTCTGCTTGGAGCTCCTTATATTTATTACTTTTACCTTGCTTTCTGAGCATAATGACCTTTGTGTCAAATATTTTATTTTTTGATGTTTATCTGAAATCAATTTTGCCAGAAATAGCTATTGCAAATTTTTGTAAATAGTGTAGATGGATAAAGGCTTGGAAGGAAAGGCTGAGAAATGTTTTTAACATGTTTCCTTCTTAAACTAGAAGTCCCAGGAAGAATATGAACTGGACTATAAGCAAACCTGTTGAACTTATAGACATTCAATTAGTTTTATTTATTTAGAGTGATAATGCTTTTGTGACATATTTTCCTGATAAAATATATTTTTAAATTTTTTCACATGAAACTGTACCTTTTCCTCAGGCTGACACCAAAATGAGTGAGCCTGTTTCATAACAGGGTAATATGTTGTTTCTGCCCTCGTGTGAAATGTGCCTGGATAGCCTGCATTGTCCCACTGTACATTGCAGAGCAGTTGTCTTAAGAAGAGTAGTCTCTTCTTAACTCTTCGACTGGCGCGGGCATGTTTTAACGCCAGGGCAATGCCAGCCGTTCCCTGGCGTTGGCGTGTTTTAACGCTTTGAAAATCTCTTCCCTTATTTGCTCTCTTGGCTCTCATCAACCAAAGATGATATGATAGTCTTTGTGCATGGTTGTAAAGAACCCTTGTAAACTTTCTGGGGGTCTATATTACTGTCAGAACCCTCCGAGAAGGGAAAGTTCAAAAAATATTTCACATTCATTCAGTTTCACCATGGCTTCTCGCAGCAATTGTCGGCGTGTTCCTACAGACCAGCTGGAAAGTGTTGTGAAGGAGATTTGTGCTGATGATGATAGTGGCGATGAAATAATGATTCCTGAATTGGATGAAGTTGATAGTGACAATAATACAGTAATAGACAATGATCCACAAGACAGTAATCATGAACATTTAGCTACCACGAGTGCGGTGCCTGACACGCCCATCTCATGGACGTACGGAGACATTGTACCAGTAATAGTTCCATTTACTAGTAGTTCCGGGATCAAAATTGATATAACACATAAAATGCACCCCTTTTCATGGATAAAATTTTTTCTGGATGATGACTTAGTAACTCACATTACAACTGAAACCAATCGCTATGCTCACCAGCACTTCAACACACATGAGTTAGCTCCTCACTCTCGAGAACTCAATTACAAATATGTCACATCAGATGAAATCTGGACATACTTAGGAATTGTGTTCATGACAGGAATCGACAAACGCCCTGAAATTGAAGACTATTGGTCCACTAGGCCCCTATTTCACACTCCATGGTATGGACAAAAGATGTCTTTGCGGCGGTTCCAACAGATTTCAAAATTTCTTCATTTTGCTGACAACGATGCACGACCAGCTGACTGTGAAGATCGCCTGTATAAAGTTAGGCCAATTATAGACTCATTAGTGGGAAAATTTAGGAACACATATATCCCTGAAAAGGAAATTGCAATAGATGAAGGAATGATCGCTTGGAAAGGACGTCTTATCTTCCGAGTATATATGCCTGATAAACCTGATAAGTACGGTATAAAGGCTTATCTTGTTTGTGAATCGACAAGTGGATATATTTGGAATTTTGAAATTTATTGCGGAAAATCAAGACCTATAAAAGAATTAGTTGTCGATCTGTTGGGGCCACAGCTTCTAGATAAAGGGTATCATCTCTACCAGGATAACTATTACAATAGTGTAGAATTATGTGAGACGTTATTACAGAGAAATACCTATGTGTGTGGAACCTTCAGAATGGACAGAGGAGCTCCCAAAGAACTAAAGAATGATGTAAAAAAATTGAAAAAAGGGGAATCTGTGTTTTCTAGGAAGGGGCAGGTTCTCGTACAGGTGTGGAGAGATAAAAGAGACGTCAAACTTATCTCCACTCTTCACACAGCAAAAATCGTGGAATCTGCAAAAACGAATCGCAAAGGAGAAAAAATATGCAGACCTGAGGTAATTGGGGACTACAATAAACATATGAGAGGGGTTGTCAGGGCCGATCAAATGCTGCATTATTATCCTTGTTCCCGCAAAACTGTAAAGTGGACAAAGAAACTGGTGTTTTTCTTGTTGCAAATGGCAGCGTTGAATAGTTTCATTCTATTCAAAAAGTACACAACAACAGAAAAATACAAGAAGAGAAATTACAAATTCAAAGATTTTATATTGGACTGTGTAGAAAAAATGACAGAACAAAACAAACAGTGTGGAGAGGGAGAACAGTCAAGGAATGAAGTGGATGACGAATCTATTGCGTCAGACTCGAGTGCAGTCACGCCTCCGCCCGCGACCTTGAGAAGACCACCAGTGAAAGACCCAGAAAATCGTCTAGAGGGTGGTTTGAAAGTTCACAAAATGGTCCATGTTCCTCCCAGTAACAATAAGAAGAATGGTGCCATGAGAAAGTGTCGAGTGTGTGCTAAGCATAAGATTAGAAAAGAAACAAGTGTCATGTGTGCAAGCTGTGGTGTGGCTCTCTGCAAACTTTCATGTTTCAATGTTTATCACACGAAGAAAAACTACTAAAAAGGTATGGAAAGACATTTATTGCATAAAATATTGTATTTTTAATAGTTCCTGAAAATTTCATTTTTAAAAACCAATTTTTGTTGAAGTTGTTTAGAAAAAAGTAAGCACATGCATCTTAGCGACAAAATGTTTAAAGGGCCTGCCAGGACAGGGGTGGGATTTAAATACCCTTCGCGCCAGTCAAAGAGTTAAGATCAGACAGGCAACAGGGACTTAGAAAGAAGAGAACTATGGCTGTATAGGAACATTTCATTGTTAATAACTGTAATACTTAACTTATATGTTTTGAGGAACTGAAGACAGATAATATGTGTGTTTCAGGTGGACATGCTTGTTTGTGGGGCCCATGTGATTTTGAATCTGTAGACTACAGTGAGCTAACGAGACATGTCAATTATCATTCTTATCACACCAAATTAAAGTGCTTTTGAATCATTTAAGGTTACCAGTAAGTAATGGACATTCAGCGTGTACATGTTTTATACATTTATTAGAATCTCTTTGTGATAAGTCTTAATATTTGCTGAGCCTCATAAAAACACTAATACTGCACAGAGCCTGTGTAGAGAGAATAACTGTTTATTTATTTGTAACATACACTTATTTGCCATCATGTCCTCTGCATACTTGAGGAAGGCTTTTCCTTTTCCCTCATGACAGTTGTACATTTAGAACAGGCTAAGAAATTGAAGGTTTGGCTTTGATCAGTACACAGAAAAATTCACAGACATATATGACTGGAGAACCAAACTCTAGACACTTTGAATTATCCTGGGTTCACCAGATCACCACTTAGAACATGTCAAATAATTCTTGAGGAGACATTAACTGGTTTCTTTCAGCTATATCCTTGAGCTGATATAAATGTAAAGCAAAACATACCAGTACTGAAATTTATCTCGTGGTACACGTTTGCACATTCCATGATGCTTGGAAGAACATGGTACCAGACTTGCCACATGCATTTGAATGCTGCTGGCACATCTGTGAGAAAACATTCAACTGCTTACAGACATACTTCATCCATGTTAAGACACATGTCTGTTGCAACCCACATGGTAGAAAAATGGAAGGAAGTGTTCCTTGCCACTGGCGTGGTGAGTTATAACTTCCTTATAATGAATTTTCACCAGAAAACTTATATCAGTTTGACACCACTTTTCTGCACACATGGCTGTTGCTCTAGCCAGAAAGATTGTAGTCATATGTTTTTACATGTTGCAGCAGATTTGAAAGCTTGTCAGACATTTACATCTTCACAGTTGTAAATGTCTGAAGGCTGTAAATAAATTGGTCATGTTAGATATTACAGAGGACATTATCTGAATATGTTAAAATCCAAAAAGTAAGACACTGCTTCACCCATCTCAGCATTGTGAAAACTATGAGAGCAGGTGTAAACAGATGAGAGTGGTGGAACAACTTAAAAATATATGAACATGTATGTATGATTTGAGGTTCACACAGCAGTGGTTATGAAGAGTACTATTTTCTGGGATATAACCTCATATAGTCCTTTGAATGTCAACCGATGTTTTGGAGGAACATATCACCCCCCTCTACAGGGTTGAATAAACTGAGCAAGATACCAGCATGAAAGCAGATGGTAAGCAGGATGCTCTGTTCTGTGCTACTCTGCTTACCACCTGCTTTCATGCTTGTATTTTGTTTGGCTTATTCGACCCTGGAGATGAATGCAGTTTGTTTCTCCAAAACGTTGATTGACTTTCTAGAAGACAGTAACCTTCACAAGATTATGTACTTTGCCTCTTCAGCATGCACCAAAAGGTAATATATACCATAAAATATGTGTTATAATTATACTTACTACAGCAGCACAAACATGCGGAGTAATTAAATGAAGTTAGAATAATCTTATCTAAGACAAACTAACCTAATTGAATTCTGATATGTTGGTAAAGTATGTTCAACATTCGGTTTAAGTTTTGTGTCAGTAATTTAATGACATAACAGATTTTGGCAATAAAAGAGGCACAAGTTACTGATCATCATATTGTAAATGTGTTGTCATGTTACCTATGTAACGTTGCGTGTTCGCCTGGTAACCTACTTCTGAGGAACCAGTGGTTACGTGTGTAAGTCCAGTTCAATCCCACTTTTGACACCAGTGTAACATGGTGACGACAATATACACACTCCCTCAGAGACAACAAGCCTCTTTGCAGATAGACTACTGAAAATATTTTGGCATATAACAATAAAGTTACTGTCAGAGACGGTGTTATGCTACCTGTTGCTAGGTAGATACAACAGTTGGACTACACCAGTGGAAACGGGGATGTTTTCTATGTGGTCCATGCTGAGGAGTTATCTTAAAGACAAGTGGGGCGACCCAGTTAGTTCAGTGAGTTGAGAGTTGAGTTCTGCATAAGAGGCTGTAAAGATATAACCTGAGTGCTTGAAACTGAAGAATCCTTACGGTTAGAAGCTGTTGCCAGGGAACGGTCATTGAAGACACAGCAGGATGAAGAAAGCTTAACAGGTGCTGTGGTGTTTGTAAAGTGCGGAGATTCACGATAGCACTGTAATTACTTGTAGTTCCAAGTGATGTGTATAAGTGAACAATAAATTCATTCACCAATCCATAGCCCATCTATTGTCACACACATAACTTGTGAAAGTATGAATGCCTTTTACAAGTTATATTGGTTTAAGTTCTTTAATGGCAATTACAAGGTATACAATTCCCAGGTGTAGTGGGAAACCAGAGGTCACTTAGAACCTAAATCTTCACTATTACTTTAATTTGATGGCATCCTCTTACTATGTTAGCAGTATGCTGTTATGTAATTAATCTCTCCATGAAATTCAATTTCTACATCTGTGAATTCAGTATCTAGTGATCTTTGTGGACAAAGACGTGATGCAGTGGTGATGTTAAGTTGTTTTAGCCCTTTCACTGGTGACTTAAAATTCGTTTTCAGCATACATTGTTACTGCATCCAGGAAGTCATGACAGACGTTTCCATAACATACTGCCATCTTCTGAAAAGCACAAGAAATACATGCAAGAGCTGTCACACAGCCAAGATAAACATTGGTATATAACAAGCACTGTACAGCACTAAGCTTGAAAGTCCTCTGTTGACATATCGTGCTGGCACACAGAATGAGAAAGTGCTGGAAGTATTAGTGTAGGGATTAAAATGTCTGCGTGAGGGTCAGGGAATACATTAAAATGTAAAGTAGCCCTCTTGTATAGACAGATATGCATCTAACTGCCTGGATGTGAATGTGTTTAATTAAAATAACATTTTGTTTGGCATTGAGAAAGAGTACAACATCCTTCATTGTGACTGGTAAAGCAAGTGTTTTTAATATACACATTTTTGACTTTCATTTATCTCAGTGGAATTTATTGTGTTCTTATTCTCTCCCCCAAAGTAAATGCAGGGATAGTACCTTGATCTAGACAATGATTGCTTCCTTCATTTCTAGCAAATTTATAACAAAATTCTGGAGAATTATTCATATAAATTAATATCACATTTACCCATGAAAAATATAAATGAACTGTACAGTGAAACAATTTTAACAAAATTAATATATACCTGATAATGGCCATGTACAGCTGAAACATGTTGTAAATGAGATATATACCAGACAAGATTATATGTTGAATCTGAGACTGTAATATACATGTAAAACCTAATAATATTTATGGAACTGGATGCTGAAGTACAAAAATCCTTCATATATTTGGGTTCATCATACATGTTTAATCTTTCATCTCATTTTATATCAAACAACTTCTCCATTTAATCAGACATCTTCAAATAATCATCACATAACTAAATTATAATGTCGTATTCATTAAGAAATTTAGATATTGCTGAATAGGTGTGCAAAGAGACTAATTCTTATAGTACTGAAACGTAAACTTTTTCATGCTACAGGTTGCCAGTCTGTGGTCCGCTCAGTTAGCAAATTGGCAGACCATGTTAGAAGCCATACACAGGAGAAACTTGTGGGATGTCCAACATGTGGTGGGCTCTTTGCAAACAAAATAAAGTTCTCTGACCACTGTAATTGCCAGGTTTCGATGGAATGTAAGTTTTAACATTAATACAAATATGCTTGGCAATCAAAGTTCAAATTTAGGACTCTGTTTTAGAGCAGACATAATGGCCGCGCCATAGCTCAAGTGGTTAGTGGCTGGCTTCCCACCATGGTGGTCCGGGTTCGAACCTGGGTCGGGTCAAGTGGGATTTTTGGTGGACAAAGTGGCGCTGGGGTAGGTTTTCTCCAAGTACTTCGGTTTATCCTGCCAATCTTCATTCCACCAAATTCTACATCATCATAATCACCTGGGGCAGGCTACAATAGGCCAATTAGTGGCCGTCGTGCCGAGTGGACCCAACTGGACTCCACCCCCCACTATACAAATTTAAATTTTAGAACAGATATATGTTTTTCAAGTTTCAAATTACATAACATAATTTATTTTACCATGAGCAACGTTTTTCAGTGATGTACTCTGTTGCAGTGCAAGAGTACCAGTGCTCACTCTGCTCCAAGTATTACCCATCTAAGAGACTGTTACAGGAACACATACGTCGCCATATGAACCATTACAAATGTTGCCTCTGTGACAAGACGTGCTCATCTCCCTCATCCCTTAGAGAGCACATTCACTACAGACACCTGGATGTTAAGCCATTCAGATGCAGCTTTTGTGAATATAGGTGAGCAGAAGACTCCTTCAGCTCACACTGAATGACTGAGCTAGTGGGCCCAAGCGGTAATATTTCTCACTTCCTTTCAAGAGGTGCTTGGTTGTAATCTCAGCCTTCAGAAAGGCTCATTGAATCTGGAAAATTGTTAACAAGAAGAAGCATTTTGTGTAATTTCATTCCAAATTTTTTTATAAGCACCCATTTTTATTTCATGAATACTTAATGAGATACTCGTAAAATTTAATTGAAGTCAAACAGAACCCTTGGTTTCCAGAGTTGTTCAGAAAAAGTCCAGGGTATTTTTTTTTATGTATATTGTGTTTCAGAGCCAAGAGAACCAATGATATGAAACGACACATGAATACACACCGCTCTAATCCACTTTACCGCTGTGAGGAGAAAGGTTGTTGTTTCTCATGTCGCTCTGCTTTTGGGCTTCACAGGCATTTTGACAAGGTATGTGAACACCTATGTGACTTCATTCTACCAAAAAGCTGAACTATTCATCTGGAATTGAAATATATCTTCATAAAGCCTTTTATTTTATGTTTGTTGAATGTAGCAAGTTTCATTGCATTGCCACTCAGTATCAGTATTCTGGTCATAGGCACCCTTGTGGCAGGAGGACATCATAATTCCATCACTGAATGTCAAGTATGCCTGTGGATACATTTTAGAGAAGTAGCCCAGCATGTCCAAAAATGAGCATGATTCCAACTTTGATTTGCCATTATGATTTGTGTTTTGACAAGAACAAAACAGGCATCAGTCACAGCTTAGTAATTGAGTCTCCTTTTATGCCATCTTGGCAAATGGTGCTCCATGTCCTTATGGTAACAGCAAGGCATTCATCTGCTTCCTGGTTGAATCTCAATGAAGTAGTGCATTCACCCATGTCAGCTTCCTGTTCATGGTGAAACCATTGGGGGTGGGAGGTAGTATCTCACCACCCTTGCGTAGATCAATCACCATCTTACGTGCAACACTACGTTCCACAAAACTTATCACCTTTACAAGTTTAAGAGTTTTTTAAAGTTTTAAAATGCACCACATGTTTCGGCCACATGGCCATCATCAGGTGTTAAAAATATGTCTAATGAGGAAATCGCTGCTTTTACTTGCTGCTGATGCATATGCAGGTCCCTCTGATGCATGTGTGTGAATTTTCTATTAGAATTCATGTATGTGAAGTTCATTATGTGTGGTATAGATATACATTTGTGTACTCACTGTGGTTGATGTGTCACGGTCTTCCCTCTTGTGTTCATGGTTGCATGTCCTGTTCCTAAATGTTTCAATGGGTTAGATTGGTTCCTCTTTTATAATGTGATCTGTTATTTAAATCTTGTATTACTTTGAATATTGATTATGGGTATCAGTGTAAGTTTCGTTCATCTGCAACCGTCTTTACTTGTCTTGTGTGTGTGTGTGTGTGTGTGTGTGTGTGTGTATATAGTGTTTCTCTAGTTTGTTTAGATGTTTTCCATTTTTCCCTCTTTTTCAAAATGTTCATGTTGTTAGTTGTACTCCTACATGTATATCTTACATTTAATATATGGTTTGAGTATCTTGACTTGCCATTATTAGCCCTTATTGCCTGTATATGTTCTCTGTATCTGGTTTCAAATGTTCGACCCATTTTCCCTATATAGTATTTTAGTGGGCAATCCATCCATCATTTGGCATACACCACTTTTTTCATACTCGTCTGTTTGTAGGCATGGCATTAATAGGTTTTGTATTGTGTTTTTTGTTCATAATGCGGTCTTGATATTTGCTTCTTCGAAAAGTCTTGTGATTTTTCATGTTTCTTTTTTGTAGTATGTAAAAATTTCCTATTTTGTTGTTTGGTGTTGTGGGCTTGTATTTTTGTTGCTTCTGTGATTCCTCAAACATCTTATGCTTAAGTTTTTATTATATTGATTGTTATGTAGTTTGTCTTGTATAATATTCAGTTCCTTTATTTGTTCTTCATTTCTTATTGGATATTAGGTAGTTTATACTTGCCATGTTATGTTCGTAAGCATGACATGAGTCATTCGGTATTATGGTGTCTGTTTGTATAGGTTTCCTGTATATTCTGAATTCTAAATTTGTTCTTCATCAGTATATTGTCAGGTCCAAGAAATTGATGGAGTTGTGTTTGCTCCTTTTCAATAGTAAATTTGATATTAGTTGTCTGTTTGTCGAATTTAATTACTGTTGCATCTATATTTTTATTTTTATTATATAGTATAAGAATGTCATCTACATATCTGAAATATGCTATTATTTGGTGTTTCTTAGGATTGGATAAAGTTAATTATGCTCCATATTTTGGATGCATACTTCTACTAATATGGCGGAAGTAGGAGCAACCATTGCTGATCCTTCTGTTTGTTTGTAATATTGCTGGTTGAATTGGAAATAATTTTGTTCCATTACTAATTTTAATATGTTTATTATTTCTTCTTGTTCAGTTTTGGTGATTTCTAATTTTGTTATGTTAGTATACATACTCTGTATATCAAATGAACACATTCTCACATTTTCGTTAATTTTTATGGATTGTAAGTCTGTAGTTAGATGTATAGAGTTTTGGATGTTATACGCATTGGGCAGGTATAGGTAGTTATGCAATGTTCTTGCTAGATACTTCACTTGTTCGTACTCAGGTGCATTCTTGCAGTTAGTTATTGGTCTAATAGGTGTATTTTGTTTGTGTAGTTTTATTTTGACTTTGAGTTTTGGGGCCGTTGATTCATGTTTATATATATCCATTTGCTTTCTTTTGGTATAATATTATCACATTGTGTCATTGTATGTTTTGTAGCCTTTTGGTAGTTTTGTGTGTAGTTTTCTGTTATGAGTATAACTATAGTCTTGTCTTTATCCGCTTTGGTGATGGTGAGTTCGTTTTTGGTCAGCTTATTTCTGATGTTTCTTACTAGTTTCCATTCTGTTTTACTCACAGCAGAAGACTACACACAGAAAGTAAACAGTAAGAAAAAGCTATCCCTGTATCAGGTCATGGAGGCCCATAGAGTTGTGAGACGTTGAGGGTCCCACATTATCTAGACAGTCAGCTCACAGATTGCAGTAAGGTTGTCAGCTTTATGTGCTGGCCACCCCAGGAAGATTCCTGGTACCCATTTCTGTTAGAGGCTGAGTCAACCCCAGGGCCATAGTGCAGCTGAAAGGAGTAGGTCATTTGAAAAAAGTCCCCCTCATAGAGACTCGAACCCATGACCTTCCAGCTTATACCATAGTGCCTCAACCAACTACACTACCGTGTGCCCCTATTCAGAAAGTAATACAAGATTGAAACAACAGATAGTGACTAAAACACATTATAAAAGGGGAACCAGTCTAACCCATTGAAACATTTGTAACAGGACACACAACCAAAAACACAAGAGGGAAGAGTGTGACACATCAACCACAGTGAGTACACAAATGTATATCCATACCACAAATAATGAACTTCACATACATGAATTCTAATAGAAAATTCACACATTACAAACACACACATGCATCAGAGGGACCTGCATATGCATCAGCAGCAGGTGAAAGCAGCGATTTCTTCATTAGACATATTTTAACACCTGATGATGGCCATGTTGGCTGAAACATTTAGTGCATTTTAAAACTTTAAAAAACTTTTAAACTTTTAAAGGTGATAAATTTTGTGGAACATAGTGTTGCACATAAGACGGTGAATGATTGACGCAAGTGCAAATTGCAACAGGATGCTACAACACAATATTATCTCACCACCCTGCACAAATGACATAATTATCATTCTTATGCATGAATCACACCATTCATGGCGATGTGCTCTTTCAGATCA